TTAGAGCGAGTAAAACAGAGAAGCATCAGTCAGTGTTCTGCAGAAACAAAGCTAATTTAGGTTTTTATCACTTCCATAGCTGAAGTGTGATACTGGAAAATATTGAGCTTGTTTAGCTGAATAAGAAGCAAAAATAAACGTATGAATTCAAGGAATCTGAGTATGAGGTTTATGCTAAATATTCACAAATGCTTCTGCCATCAGAATGTTGTTTTGAGAATTCTGATATGTGCCCAGACAATGTAATTTTGCTTTTTAACACTTTTCCAAATCAGATTACTCAGTATAAAGTAAAGCATAAATCCGCTAAGCCTCACACTGTCTGATTTTATAGCTACTAAAAGCCTCAAAGAGAAAAGCAAAAGCTGATTCGCTGCTTTTGTATGTTCACTCATACCAGGTAGAAATAGCAGACTGAGCAAGACAATGCAGGTCGGTAAATCCCATCTCCTACAGCCACCAGCAAGCACATATCAGAGGTTTGTTTGGCCAGACCCATGAAACTCCGATTCCAGAAGATGTTCTTCTGCAATGAACATAGCCATTAGTGTGAGCGATCAAAGCCTACAGTGTGAGGAGGAAGCAGGCAGGAGAGTTCAACAGCATTACCTGTGTCTTGGCAGGGAATTTGTTAGCTGAAATGAACCTCAGTCTCTTTTCATATTGAGAGAGAGGAAGGGTGGAACAGAACTGTCATAGGGCATTGACAGCATCATGTCCATTTTAGACCTCTTCCACATAAAGGTTACAACAGAGTTTGGGTCTCTTTCTTATGTAGCTTGAAAGAAGGAAGAGGTGGAAGCTCAAATGCTTGCTTTCAGGAGTGGAATTTCAGGAGTATCTCATTTTCCCACAGTTGTCCTGGATTGCGTGAATATACATGGAGTGACTGGGAATACCTATTGCATTTTAAATTCCATTCATGCCTTAATTTGAATAAGCTTCTAAACGTAGACAAGCACAAAGATATGGTGAGAATGGGATGAGTATGAGGTAATCCATTAAGATGTTGAATCAAATGACACTTTTTATGAAATGTAGCCAAACACCACCATATTTAACGACGAAACCAAAAAAGCTCGGGGGATTATTCAGCCTTAAGCAACATTGGTCAAAGTGTGTTATTGTATGAAAGGAAGACTGAATCATAGAACTGTAGAACAGTTAGGGTTGGAAAGAACTTTAAGATCATCTAGTTCCAACCCCCCTGCCGGGGAAATGGAAAGTAAAAGATGGAAGAGAGACTTACTTTCCTAGAATCTGATTTCTGAAGAATCTGACAGGACCAATCTCTCAAGCATTTTCTGAAAGGCCTGGTCCTGCAAGAGTACTACCTGTGAGGCCATAAGTGCACGCTGACACTTAATAAGGAGAGTTCAAATCCTTTCAGAACTGAGACCTGAGAATCCATTGCTGCCTACCACAAATCAGCATGAATTTGACTGAAGGCTGTGGGAGCTGTCCCAGTGTATGCATTAGCTGAGAATCAAGTCAATTTAGTAGGATATTATTCTCAACAGGCTTTACACCAAGGCATTTTTGATGGGGAGAATGTAAGATGTTTCAGAATTTTCACTTCAGTAAATGAGAAATCTTGCAGTATTTTTATGGTGGTGGCACACAGACCATTTCAGTAGGAAATCGGGTTTACAGCATATATATTTTTTTCCACATGATATCTGCTCCATCATGCAAAACTAATATGCAAGTGTGTTGGGTTTGTGGTGCTTTTAGGCAAAAAACATTAAGTTGCTCCCAGCAAAAAGCTGAAGTTTAACTGTAAAAATATACCTTTATTGCAATTGATTTGCACTTCTGCTTTCACAAAAAAGCTCCAGGGATTCAGCAGCTTTAAAATCTTAGGACTGTCAAAGTTTCTAGTTTAAACTCCATCCGTTTTCTTTTTTTAATGGACATTATCTCATTATGATTCCAGGAAAAGATGGAAAATGGTGCCCAACTTTTCCCCACTGTTTCACACTCTATCTTTCATATACTTTCCTTTAAAATTCCCTTTTGGTTTGGGTCTGGGAAAACAGAATTTTTTAATAAACCTTCCTATATGTCTTTCATTGGGTGCTTTCAGAACCACAGTGAATGAGGACACAGAGGCATAAATCAGAGGTTAATATGGTACTTTTTCTTTTGGACGTGCTTTTGATTATTTCAAATCCTTGTGGACTCTATAATTACTGTCTGAGAATGTGGTGCTCAGCTCTATCGTAAGATGAAATCAAAGTACTGTGAAGCCTAAAACTTGTGATTTTCCCTTAAAAAAATAAAAAGTAAACAAACTGAAAGACCTCCCATATAAACTAGGTGACGTAAAAATTACATTGAAAACCAATGCAGTGTTTATGTTTCAGGCATCAAGGTGTAGGCTAATTGCTAAGGATAAAATCCAAGTTAGCCTTAGGTACCTGCAGTGCAGCCTGGGGGCAACTAGATTTAACAGAACAATCCAAGAAACCACATCTGCTTGTCTACATATCTAGAATGTTGTAGACATCTAATTTTCCTGGTTCTATGTATATTAACCTGCTGCTCAGAGCACAATCCAGGGACATGAGAACATGTGTTTCAGCCTTTCAGGTTGCTCCTTCTTTGGTAGCTTTAAGTTCTGGTTCTTTGCCTGCCCAGAGCGCTTCTGTATTGAAGAAGACAAATGCCTAAATACCTGCCTCCAATTTAAATTTCAAAAGCCACATATTCCTACATCAGAGTACCCCAAGGAACTCAGTTTGTTAGCTATGATCTTAGGATGCCTCAAGTGCTTACAAAAAGCCTGCAGTGCTCTCCAGATTGCAAGGATGGAGCCACCTTTTACATGAAGTCATACCTGTGAAAACAGTAGCCCAAAGAAAGGGCTTGAGTTAGCTCCACCTTAGCTGTGGGGATTGAAACTCAGGCTTCCCACAGCCATGAAAATGCTCAGGCTAGTAAGTGAAGACTGTTCTCGAGAGGGTACATTTGAAAAGTGAGTATATGCCACGTAAAAGGCTCAGTAGTTTGTAGATGGATCAATTTGATATTCAAAACCATGTATTTCAAGAAGTACCAGAAGTGCAAGAGGTCAGTCACACTTCATGCTCTGACACATGTCCTGATTCCCAGATGGCAAAAAACTCACAAAATTCTCTTTAGTTTCTCTTTGGTGCATTAATATGACTTTGTAATGTAATGTAATGTAGATTTTACAGCCTTCTTGCGCATCAGTTCTAGCAGGTGCAGAAAGTACATTAAACACCCTTTTGTGTACACCAGCACCTGATCCCATGGACTATATGCTTAACTTTCAGGACTGCCTGTGGTAATACTTTCCATATTAATGCAAATGGTTTTTAAAACAACCCTGATGCAGAGCTGTGGAAGATCTAATAAATATTCAATAAGGGCATCTTAACCACTGTTAGGGACATGTTCTACACAGCAGATAAAATCAGAGGGAATTTAAAGATTGCAAAATTTTTGCTGTTATTTAGATCTAGACGTTTGATTTCTTTAAAACTATGTTATGACTTCCCTGTACAGCATTTACAATGTACCACACACGTACATTCTACCAAGTCCATAATGTCTTCCATTAAGCCTATTATGATGCTAACATTTATAAGCTTTGCTGCTAGTTAAGTGCTTTCTCATTGTACGAAGCTATATTATGAGGCAGACTGCCCTCTCCTTTCTCCCTTAGTGTCCCATTAATTAGCTCTCCTTGCTGCAATCCACTGTTCTACTACTTCCATATTACACTGTTGTGTTGCACTCTCCAGAGGAAATACTATCCTTTTTCTGTGTTACACCACATAAAAATGGGACTATTTCTGCAGAGCCTTGCATAGTGGTAGAATATGCATACGATGTCACTAGTAAGGCACTGTCCGAGAGAGAGCTGTGTTCCCAAATAGTGATTTATCTGGTAATTGATGCTTTGAGCAATCAAGCCTTTGATTGGCATGATGAAAACAAAGGTAGTAAAAGCTAGGATTTATAGACACCAGGAGTCAGACAGTAAAGACTACAATACCAATGTTTTCATCTGCTCTTATATCACTGTGACGCTCAGCAGTACATCATACTTCCAATTACCTCTGGCAGTTTTCGTACCTCAACAACTGCCACTGGAAAAGGAAAGGAGTCAGCAGTAAGTGCTTATTATAGGAGTGCTGGATGGCAATACATTTTGCTTTGTGCTCAGTCCCTATGGACTAATATACGTTGAGGCAGAAGTTTTGAGATAATTTTGAAGCAAATCTGGTAGGTGAGGAGCAGGGGATGTGCAGTACTGAAGTTGTTGATCCACCGTTTCCAGTGCCCACTGAAGTGGGCAATATCTCAAAAACAGAGATAAATCTAACTCCTTCCCTTCCTCTCCCCAATCCTATGCATGTACAATTGACCATAGTTTCCTGTTTTGCTTCAGGGTGGTGAGAGAATAGTGTAATGTTAAGGTTTGCAGATAGATCAGCATTGTGCAGAAGTCTTGCATACCATACATTTATACTGTAGGAGTCTGCGGGGTGTATCTTGCATCTGGTTAAGTATCACGCTTCGAGTTGCTGTTCTGTCTTTTAACTGTGTTACACATCTGTGGTTCGCAAACCAGCCCCTCAGTATGCTCAGTCTCTGTACATGTTTTTGGAGTCAACTGAGCTCTCTGTATCCAGAGCTCCTGCCTCTAATGGTAAAATTCACCCTGAGCCAAACTTTTTGCTAATAAAAATACGCAAAATCTCATTAAAGTCAGTGGACCATTACAACAGCAGAGATTTTGGTGTTCTCTGCTTATTTCACATATTCTTACTGGTGAAATGCAGAAGCAGAGGTTTTTCTGCAGGAGACATCCATAATTTTTCCTGGCCAGGAGAGAAGGGAGAAGTTTCTAATAAGTAACCTTGAGAAAATGGTCTTCAAAGCTCATATCCAGCCATCTTACTTAGAGAGAAGCAAACAGAAAATAGTTCTGTAGAAACATGTGACTGCTGGCAGAGCTGTCTGCTGTCTTAGGGTGATCTGTTTCTGACAGTAGTATGTAAAATCGGAGGAAGAAGGCAATTATAGGAAAGGCCATTTCAGTGGTCAGTTTGCTGGTAGATCTTACAAGTATTTGAGCAGACCTTGCATAAGCACAGCTGCAGTGCATGTAATGAGAGGAGAGGATGAAGAGTTGTGTCCTAAGGAAGGTTTTTGTCAAGAGCCAATGTGATTACTCAGGTTGGTAGTAAAGCATGTCCATGTGTAGACTTGAGAGCAGAGGAGCTGTGTGTTGGATGTGACCACCACCTTCCATTTAACGTAACTTCAGGAAGTTGCTGAATTCCTTGTATGTACAGAGAAAGCTGGAGCTGTGATAATCCCCATCTCAGGTGTTGGTGCATGCAAATAATTGGTAGGGGAAGGTCTTTCAATAGTAAAAATTTTGAACAGGTTTCTGTGTTTGCAGGGAAAATCCTGAGAACAGATGAAAGGAATGATGGGAACAGTTATAGAACCATTGGTCCTGTGGCCCTAAGAAAAAAACATAGAGGTATTTTGAGCAAAATACTGTTTTAAAGAGGCTTCAGACTGGGAGCAGCCTTCTGGCTTTGTTTCCTTCATGTCATGGAAATGAAATATTTTCCTTGGTTTTTTTTTTCCCTAAACAAATGACATCACTAACTGATTCTTTCACCAATCTCCCTACCCAGAGCACCATGTATTTTGGCTGAATGAAAAAAAGTAATAGTTTTAAAATCAGTTTAATGATTATATAAAAACCATGCAAAAAAAGTAAGTGTTGATGAAATAGTGAATAGAAACATGAAAGGTAAAAACAATGCTCTCTTTTTATTTGACTTGCTTGAAATAACTGTCAGAAATGCTGCCAGCATCCACACCTTCCCTGCAGAAGGTTTCAGTCACAGGGTAGAGTAATTGCCACACAGTTCCCGTGGCAGCCAGCAGCCAGCTCTGTGAGGGTTCACATCATGGCTGCTTTTGTACAGTTGAGTCAAGTGTATGTGGTATTGTGAAGGTAGTGTGAAAATTGGAACAGAAAGCCCTCAAATAGGCAGCAAACCCTTTCTTCCTTTGAAAAACAAACTAAATGTCAGAAGGTGTGTCTCTTACTGGATATAACACTTGCTGTTGTATTAAACTTACCACATTGCATGCTGAAATTCAGTATCCATTACATGTACTTGACCATGCAACGCTGGATGAATGCGACAGATATTACTGGTCCTTCTGCTATGGAAAGCAGGCTGAGTAGAGGGTGCAGCTGATTCTCTGTATGATTTGCTGGAGGGCAGCACTAATGAGAAACCCCTAATGTGAAAAAAGGGGCTTATAACTGGGAGAAAAAAAAAAATCCAATGAATCCTTAAAAAGGGAAATTCAGTTCAGCTGCTCCCATAGGGAGTTTGCTGCCCAGCTTTTTTTTTTTTTTTTTTGGTATTACTGCAGATCAGCAGTTCAACCTCTGTATTACAGACCTTCCTTTTAAAGCTTTCCAGCTCTCCTTCCCATTGACTAACAGAACATTCTTGCTATAGATGTGCAAACACATACTGAATTTGTAAGATCAGAGACTGGATATTCACTGGTAGCAAGAGAGCCCCTGCCCATGGCAGGGGGGTTGGAACTTGATGATCTTAAGGTCCTTTCCCACCCTAACTATTCTATGATTCTGTGATTCTATAATAAAGTCAATGTAATTTAACAAACAAGTCATTGGAGGAAATACATTTCTACACTGTGTATCATCAACAGACTTAAATGCAGTGTGATATTTTTTAGAGTCAAATAATAATCTTCATTTCCTACAATAGCACAGCATTTTTATAACAGAAAGGAGTTTCTGTGATACATGAATAGATTATATTTTTTTTTATCCTGCCTTATAAAGGAGCACAATTTAGAGCTGTAACTGCAGAAAACCACAGACAAACACAGTAGCTCATTAATTTAACATAATGACAGGGTTGTCAAGGTCAGAAGGAAAATATCAAAGGTGATTCTTGGGGAAATACTGGTAGACAACTTACCTTTATGTACTATCAATGAAATTCAAGCTAAGCATAATTTACGTTTGTTATTGTAAAAGCTTTATAGTGAGAAAAATGACAGTTAGGTATAATGGGTTTTTATAAATAGCTGAAATAACTAATAACAAACAAAAGAAATAAAAGGAAAAAAAAAAAGCCCGACTGCAAATCACAATCTCACATCTTTTGTCTGTAGAATATATGCACATTTTTCTTCCTACTAGGCAGATTATCTGAGGAAAAAAAGAAAGTCAGGAGGAATTTTGTCCTAAAGAAATTAAATGTAAAGCAATAACTGAAAAATGGATAAGCAAGATATACTAAGTTATCTTATTGCTTATATTGTAGCAACCTAATTTATTTCCTTATATCCCGTTGTGTAATTATAGGTCTAAACTAAGCACAGTTCAAGAGCTGTATAGCGTCAGTGAATATTACCTACATTTAATGTTTATATCTATTGATGTTACAGTATTCCAAATAGCAATTTGTGGATTAGACCTTGGACTACCAGCCCCAAAAGGGCGTTTTCCAGCTGCTGTCAGTGTCACTTGTTTGTGACAGGTTCTGTTCATGCATCCCTTCATGTTAGCACTAAAAGACACATCTTCACGTACTTGAAAGCACAGGTATGTTTAAATATTTATGGAATGAGAGGAATTTTAAAAATCTTCCACTGAAAAACTGTGAGAATCTGCATCTTGAAGGACACATGCTGCAGGTACAAACAATTTCTAAAACTGGCTATTGAAATCACACTAGGACTCTAATATATCTCATATTCACAATAAAATCTTTTTATGGGCTTTGTCTGGAGTAAGTAAAGCATCCCTTGACAGAACTCCTGTCCCACAAAGAACATACAGAGTAATGTCTTCTGTGTAAAGTTGAGTAAGGGGTTCCAGATGTTAGATGTTAAAAGTGTTCACTGAGTCAGTTTGTGTTTCTTGAGAGACAGCAGTTAGTGGCTGAAAGGTGACGTCGTCATACTTTTAAATCTGCTCTTAAACACTGTTTTCATGAGTGACCAGAGCTCCTGATTTTGCAAAAACAAATAATCCAGTGATGGTTAAGGTTCACTTACCTTTGCATAGAAAAGAACTGGAAAGATGCATGCGGCTGCTTACTGTCTGACTTATGAGTGGTTTCTTAAAACACCTCTGTGCTTAACTGTTGGTAAGGCTTTCTGCTCTGTTTTGTGCAGCGTCGTCTTTGAGGTGGTATGTAATGCATGTATGGGAAAGAGGGTGCTCAAATCTTAGGTACTCGCCTGAGGAAGGCAATGGCAGACTGTGCAGTACCTCTGGCTCATCCTGCTTTACTCATTTTCAGCTTTGAATCAAGGGTAAGGGTGCTGCTTCTCTTCTCCAGAACAAAGTTAATAGAGTTGGTATAATCTGCTGGTTACTGGTGACTCCAGGAAGACAGTGGAAGGGAAACCATGTGCCCTGAGCCAAGTGGCTCTTACTGGTGATAGATTTTGTTTGCCTTCTCCAAGAAGATACAAGTGCCTGCTCATGTACTTCTCCACCTTGTTTTGATGCCAACTGCTGGTGAAGTTAGACTCATAGAATGGGCTAGCTTGGAAGTGACTTCCAAAGATCATCTGGTCCAACCTTTGTTCAGAAAGATGAGATTATTTAGCACCCTGTCAAATCACATCTTGGTGATGTGGAAACTCTGGTGATGGGGACTCTACCACATCCCTAGGGAGTTTATTCCAATGATTGATTGTTCCTAGTGTAAAAAATTTGTTTCTTAACATCAAGATGAAACCTTCCTCAGTGTACCCATTTCTCCTTGTCTTCCCCATGAAGGCTCCTAGTGATGAAAGAGCCTTCATCTTCTCATAACCACTCTTTAAGTAGTGGAAAACAGTGATAAGGTGAGAAAACTGTTATTTAAGCTCACCTGTTTGGTGCTGCACTGCAGGGGAATGGGGTGGAGGTATTTACACTGTTAGGGATAACTATGAGCAGTGTAAGGAGTAACTGCCCCACTGCTGTTTGGTACCACCTTCCCTCCATCTTCAGCACAGAGGATGGGTGCTCTGTCTTCCAGTGCAGCTGATGAAGAGCACACATCCAGCATTATGACATGAGCTGTGGTTTGAGAGGGGAGGTGTTAAGTTTTGTCCACTTCCCATAGGTTACACTGAAGAGTGAGCTTCCCTCAGATGTGCCATCTATTGCTTGTGCATGCTGGGGCTGCACTAGTAAAGTGCTGAAATCCATGGCAAATGAGAAATGTGCAGAGGATGTTATCCTTGCAGCAGTAACCATCTGTTCTGTCTAGATTGGCCCTGTCCCTCCTTGCAATGCCAGCAGAAGGCCATGTGCCACCTCGCCTGCACCCTATGCCTGGATTTAATGAGTATGCCCAGTAGTCCTGCCATCATCTCTCCCTGCCCCAGGAGACAGCTGCTGCCAGCAGTGTGGCTTCTGAATTTGTTCTTGTGTCTTGTGTATGCATGGTTTTGCAAAGACTAGTTACTGTTAGATGTATTATATGCCATACACATTACAGGCTTTTCAGGGGCAGAACAGATGTCCTGTGCAGATGAAGGATCTTGTGGCAGTTCTGTCAGACCTTCTCCCTTTTCACTTTTGGTCTGTGAATGATGGCATTTTGAGGACTGCTGAAGGAAGATTTCACTGTAAAGAGGCCTGTCCATGCCTTTTATATTATTAGCTCTCATCTTGCTTTTGGCATGGATCTTTCCCATTTGTAATTTCCTTCATCTGTTCTGCAGCTCTTCGGAGCTGCTTGAGCCTCCCAAGAGCAGCATGGTCCCGCTGCAGAACTGGTTCTCTTCTGAAGGCTTTTGCCACTCACTGTCTGGAGAGTCTTTGAAATGGGTGGCTTTCCACTGCACACTCTTGTTTTTCAAACAAAGTTTCAGGCAATTTTTCATCTGTCCAAAAATTGGCTTTTATATTTTTGCAGATCCCCCAAATTTAATATTTGTTACATAGGTATCTCACATGTAAATAATAATTTTCTAAGCACTGGAATTCTGGAATTCTTCATATCATTCAAAAATCTTGTTCTCTTCAGACAATGTGTGAACAGACAAAGAAGTTAAAAGGGATGTGATCATTATTTGATACCACTTAGTGTGCTTAGTGGTGAATCACATTGAGAGAGCAAGTCACAGGTAATAGGCTCAAAGGGAAGAGAAACCAAATTGCATCATCGAAAATCAAGGTAGCAACATCTGGGGCAGTTTTCCAGAACTATGAACACAGTCTTCTCCTTTGGCTATTCCAGACATTTTCATTAGGAAAAAGATGCAATCCTATAGCTCTAGTTCCTGCTGTACAGTTGGCATTGAACAGCAGTGTGCCCTGCACAATTCATTAAATCCTATTGTTAGTCCACAAAATCACAACTCCTAATTATCTGTGTCCTTTTTAGGAAGTAAGATTAAAGTCAAGTTTCTTTGGATGTTTCTTACCCATGATTTTTGTTTCCTGGTAACATACTGGTAGTTTCTGAAACATCTTTTAATTTTAAAGTCTCAAGGACCTCTCACAAATATTTGGTGCTTTTCTTTTTTATCACGGGTTCTCTGGGTTTATTGCTGAGTGCCTCTTTATAAAACCCAAAACCACAAACCACAATTAAAGACTGTTTCATAATACTTCTTTGAGAAATCTCTTTCCCAGAGTCTATCGGCAAGAAGATTTTGCTTCTTGCACTGCAGGCAATGTGTTGTTTTGTTTTGTTTTTCCTTCAGAGGCATATGGGGCTATATTTTCAAGGAGTTAACAGTCCCTCCCCACAGGGGGCAGATTTTCCATAAATATTCTACATGCAGAACCTTCTTGATTTCTGGTCAACTTGCAAATTATGAACATTCCTGCTATTTGGGTGTGAAATTACTGAATTAAAGCATATGTCTAAACTGCAGGAAAACTGCCCTCAGTCTTTGTCTGTTAATCACCAGAGGTGAGGACCAGATGGAGTGGTGTGGCTCTCTTTTGGCCCAGGTTTCCTTCCCATGGATTTGAAATATGCCTCTGAATCCAAGAGTAAAGCCGTGCTTTTGGGTGTTACTGCAGAGCAACAGGTCTCCTGAATTTGTGGAATAGTCGTGAACAGAATAGCCCTGCCCTGTCTGGTGGATGATACAATCACTTGAATATACTTTCTCTCTGGTAGAAAATGCTGTTACTAACTAATAAAACCCTGCTCCTCTCTGCTGGAATCTATCCTAGTATTTTAAGCAAAGTGTTAGCAGGTTAATTTGTTA